CAGAGAGAAGCAGTTCTGTGTGGGGAATGAGTTAGGCAAGCAGTTAGTTCTGTGTGTGAGGGAAGTGAGAAGCAGAAGAAAGGCTGAGAGAATAGGAAAAATTAAATGAAAGCTTAATTGAAGTCAAGTTATAGGAAAGGCTGTATGTCCTGGAGAGAAACAGTGAACATATATGACCTTGAGTTAAAGTGTTACAAAGTTACCTGAAAGATCCCTGTGAGTAAGGGAGCAGATTGTGTGTGATACACCAAGCAATTGTTCATTATTTACACATTAATAGTTACATTGTTCTACCCTTTTATTTATGAATTACTTCAATAAATCCTCTTTTATTTAAGTATACCAGCTCTGAAAGAAATACTTCCTCAGGACCACATAGTTCCTCGTAAGCCTTGTACTCGGTCTACCAAAATAGTAAGAGCAACAGTAAAGTATAAAGGTTTGGAAAGCCTTAAATTTCCTGGTGGCAGCCGTCTATACCCAGTAGAACAAAATAAAAAGAACACTTTTAAAGTGAAACCAGTCCTCCCCAATAAGGAGGGTGTCATAGATGCCTTCTAGGCATCAAGCTCCATTAGCCTTTTCCTACTCCCTCCCCAGTGTACACTCTTGAACTGTAAAGAATTTATAATATGCCACACACACACCCCCAATAAAAGCCATTGTGATTCAATGGATAACATTTTCGGATTTGAACCTGGTACATCTGCCTTCCCATTTCTCCTTGGTCCTCAAGATTCGGTAGGCGGGCCCCATCCAGTCGATAACAGTTTCTTCTGTGCATCTGACAACAGTGGTTATTTGGCCATTGGCCAGGTGGTACATCACAAAATCCAATGAGCTTCTGAACATTCTGATGTTTTCAGCCACCTGTCCCCAAGTAGCCAACCATGGTTGGCTATATGAACATGTGATGCTGCTTGATAAAGATCAGAGAATGAACCGTCCTGAGCTAAAGAGACCAACAACATCAGGCATAGAAGTACTGATGGCAACACCAGCTCCTTGAGATCTTTTAACTAAAGAAACCCAGGACTGAATCTGTGCCTGGAAAGCATGTGCTCTAACATTTAGCCACATATCCAGTCACAAAGCATACATACTGGATATGCAAGGCTCTCTTATGCCACTAGTCCATCTAGTTTGTGTGGTACTCACTCTATGGCTCACGGGGTGCCACATAAGCAATCACCATCAACCAAAAGAGCTACATTTACTTCCATTCCTGGCGTAAGGCCTGTGCCACAGGAAGGTGCACAGCTCACCCATTCCTCTGGAAGCTGTTTCAACACAGGAACCACCTGCCAACTACACTTTCCTGAAATACGGGACAGGTGCCATATTGGGGTACGGCGCTTGGATCAGCCACGTGTGGCTTCTGAGCCACCGAGTATCACAGTTCTACTCAGACTGGAAGTGGCTGTCCGGGATCTCAGGTAGAGAGAGTTCTTTCTCAGTACCAGCTATCTGAGATTTTTTTATAAGAAACTGGAAGCAAAGGCGTCTCAAGAGAACAGGACCCGAGCCCAACATTCCAAACATCATCAACCACTACCATCGATTAGCCAATCAGAACATTTCACCACAATCATTCCAATGCTTAATACACCAATGGCAACAGCCACACTTCTTTGCTTTGCCTTTCTGCAGAACTATCCAACATTCCGCTGTGAAACATCAACGCAGGGCACAGTTGCTTCTATTGACACATCTACTTTTTTGCAGCTTTGGGGGGCAGGTAAAAAACTAAATGTGGTGTTTTTAAAAACATGTATTTTATTCTTGTTTATATTTAAATTCAAACTGGTTTGTCCCTCCTCAGAAATAGACATCCCTGACCCTCAGCAAACATAAGCACATACATAAAAATATTATTCACTTGGTCCCAACCCCCACCCCACCCCATTTCCCTGGTACTGACGCCCGTCCCCATCTGTTGAAGTTTGTTATTTCAAAGCTTTGGCAACCAGCTCATAAGCTATTTCGATCTCTTCATTGTCCGGGCAGGTGCTGGCAAATTCCTCGCGGGCGTAAGCATTCTTGAGATAACGGTGGATGCCGTGGAATTCTTCGGGGATGGCAAAGCCACGGTATTTCTTACACACTACCTGTAGGGATTGCAAGAATAGAGATAACATGTCTTAAAATCTGAGGTGTTTATCATCAGGCCTGTCTGCATCTGGAAACTCCACGAGAGGTAGATTTGGGTAATAAGTGTACAGGGCAGCATCCTATGACTCATGGCTTTCGCTTTATTTATTAAGATTTTATTTATTTATTAGATTTTTAGTCACCACTCACCCAAAGGATTTCACAGCAATTTACAACATTGAAACCATATAAATGAAGTTAAACACAACATAAAAACAGGTAACAAATATAAAAAATTACCATTAAAATGTGAAACTATTAAAATACGTGGCTAGCACCATACCACTAAGAAAACCCCAAGGCAAACGTGGATTACACTCCAAAGGTCAACCTAAACAATTCGGCTTTGCGTGCCCTGAAGAAAAGAAACAAGTCTGGCAGGACTTTACATACAGAACCAAGTTCGTAGCTCCTAAGATTACCAAGAAAGGCAACAAAAGTACTCATTAATGGGTGAACTCCAAGAGACCAGGGTGCAGGGAAGGTGAGGGTAGAAACTGGATAGCCAGGGACCAGATGATGGGGCCCAGGTATCTTGCAGAATGCTTCGCCCTCTTTACACAGCTAGCAGGAAGAGAAGGGATTGAGTAGAAGTAAACATTCACACACCCCTTAATGGCGTCCCTTTGCATGCATAAGCACTGAAAACCATGGCAGCCAGAAGAAAGAATAGCTGCTGTCCATTTTATGGGGTGCCTCCACCAGCCCAGTGAAGCAGCAAGAGCCATTTTCACACAGCACACTGATTCTGTACCTTTGGGGAATGCCAGCTGGTGCCCTCCCCCACTTATCACCCACGTTCCCTCTAAGCTGAGTTAGTGTGAGCTAGCTCACAGTTTTTTAGCCTCCGGCTCACACATTTTTATCTCAGCTCAGGAAAGACGGCTCCAGAGCAAACTAATTTATGCCATAGCCAACCCACTCGCTCACAGCTTTAATGCCAGCCGCTCACAAAGTAGAATTTTTGCTCACAAGACTCCACAGCTTGGAGGGAACATTGCTTATCACCTGTCCCTTTTCCTCCTAATTCCCAGTCATCCCCAGCCATTCATCTACTGGACCTCTCTCTTTCTCTAGAACCCTATGTGGTCACAGCTTGGCATCGTGGTTAAGTGCGCGGACTCTAATCCGGGAGAACCGGGGTTTGATTCCCCACTCCTCCACTTGAAGCTGCTGGATGACCTTGGGCAAGCCACAGTTCTGCCAGAGCTGTTCTCTCAAGGACAGTTCTGCAAAGAGCTCTCTCAGCCCCGCCTACCTCACAGGGTGTCTGTTGTGGGGAGGGGAAGGGAAAGGAGCTTGTAAGCCGCTCTGAGACTCTGAGCGAAGGGCGGGGTATAAATCCCATCTCTTCTTCTTCTTCTCTCATTTCCATGCTCAGGCTCCACTTCCAGTGTATGTGAAACAACCAATGAATACCCTATGGGGCTCATCTTCTTTGATGCCATGTCACCCTCCAGCAGCTCCCCCTACCTTTGGGAACAGGGGCAAAGGACTTTCTGGGTGGGGCACCTATGTTCTAGGCAGGCTAGAGTTCAGGTACCTGTTATTTTAGGAATCAACTTCAGCCCTTGCCCAAGGCCGTTCGAAAAAAGAAAACAGGCGTGTCAAATGTTTTGCACTCAGAGCAGTGATTTTGGGAGATTTCATAGGGGAGGGGGGAGGAGGGGAGAGAGAGAGAGAGAAGGTGGCACACAAGCATGTGAAGACTTCATTCCCTTCAAAAATCAGCCTGCAAAAACTGGACCTCTTCCTTTGGCTGAGGGCACGTTTTGCACCGAGATGCTATTTGTCCAGTGACTTGTCACCAAATGTCTCCAGTCAAACAGCAACCTGCAGCGGCATGTCTGAACTCCCTCCGTTTTTATTTCTCTCCTTTACCATTAAGAAAGCAGCTGAGGTGCCCACATGGTTAAGAAGCATCAAAAAAGCCAAAGCATTAACCATATAAAACAAATGGTAGAAGCAAAAAAAAAAGAGTTTTGCATCAAAGATTTTATTTATTTATTTATTTATTTATTATTTAGATTTTTATCCCGCCCTCCCCGTAGGCTCAGGGCTGTGAGTTGATACAAAAATTCATTCTATGATGTGTTGACCCACTTCACACACGCAAAGTATGGTATGACATTGCAAGTACTAAAAGACGGATGCAAATATGTGAATTCTTCCTAAAGGGAGACATTCTGATAATCAAAAGCATTTCTTGGGGAGGAGAAGTGATGAACATTTGGGGGGCCCTCTCCTCAAGAATCCCTTTCTTGGGGAAAATAATCCGGGCCCTGCGGGACCTTTCTCAGCTCCGCAGGGCCTGCAAGACGGAGCTCTTCCGCCAGGCCTTTGAGTAGGAGCCGCCACCACTACTATTCCACCATTGCCTTCTATGCACCATCGTACTATCACCACGATTGTCTGGATCCCACTGGGGGATAAGGCGCCCCTGGCATGAAGTGGATGATAGATTTCAGGAAGCTACCGTTGGGTTTAAGATCTACCCATCTTTGTTTAAATTTGTATTGTAAATTTGTTATTGTATTTTACTGTTTTATACTTGCATTTTTATTGTTATAGTCTTGACACATTGTGCCCTTGTCAGCCGCCCTGAGCCTTCGGGGTAGGGTGGGATATAAATCCAAGGATAAATAAATAAATTGGTGAATACTTAGCAGGCTTCTCCCCACGACCTCTTTCTTTGGCAGAAGAAGTGGTGAACGCTTGGAGGATTTCTCCCCAAGATCTCCTTTCTGGGGGTGGAAAAAGTGGTGACTGTTTTCTGGTCTAACTTGCTAGACTGGTGACTGACTGGTCCTTCCACCCAGCCGTGACGAAGAGAGGCTAAAATTTCAGAACTCCTCATCCGCTAAGCTACAGATTCAAGGAGAGGACTTCACCTTGACAATGTGAAGCTTGGGAAGCAGGTTGCAGTCGGCCAGCGTGAGTTCATCCCCGTCGAGGAATTTGCGGTTTGACTGGCCCTCGTCCTCAGCGCTGTTCTCATCCACCTCCTCGGGGAGCGGCGTCATCATATAGTTGTCCAGCACCTTCAGGGCCTTCAGCAAACCTTTCTCAAGGTCTGGAGAACGAAAGTTGGGGGTGGGGAGGAGGACAAATACATGGAACCAATGAAAATCCAACAGACACGTGTTAGAGGATCAGGGTGACAACTAAGGTAGAAAGGGAGCCAATGGGCTTCGAGAAAGGATGACAAGAACAAACCAAGTGTACCCAGGATAAGAGAATGATGGGACCAGTGAGATTAAAGAATGAGGACAGAAAACCAGTTAAGAACACAGGGGGAAGATCAGGTGGTGGAAACTGTAGTTAAGTCACAGCGGACTTATGGGTGACCTGTAGGGTTTTCAAGGAAAGAGACAAACAGAGGCAGTGGGTTGCCGTTGCTTGACTGTGCGTAGTGACCCTGGACTGCCTTGGTGGTGTCCCGTCCGAGTACTAACCAGGGCCAACAGTACTTAGCTTCTGATATCTGATTTGATCAGGCTAGCCTGGGACATCCAGATCAGGAAGGGGAAAGACCTGCCCTGCTCAGAAATGAGTACAAGCGAGCCAGTGGGAAATTGAAACAGCTAAAGGACTAGAAGGGCTGCGGTGCTTATTAGGTCAAAGGGTGAAGGTAGACAGCCCATTTATATCCTATTAAAATGTAAAGGTAAAGATTCCCTTGCTTTTACGTATTAAAATGTAGTGAGACATTTATATCCCACTTTCCCCAAAAAAAGAAGGAAGAGATTGAAGGCCCAAGAGGAGAACTAGAATAACCGGCGTGAGACTCCCTGGGTAAAGATAGAAAGGGGGTGCAGGAACCCAGTAAGAACGCTGTTACCTTCCCACCAAAGTGGTACCTATTTATCTACTTGCAATTTCTTGCTTCCGAACTGCTAGGTTGGCAGGAGCTGGAACTAGAGATGGGCGCTCACTCCGTCATGTGGCAACTCGGGTCTCGAACTGCTGAACTACTGACCTTCCACGGCCTGCAGTTCAGCGTCTTAACCACTTGAGCCACTGCAGCTCATTTATATCCCACTTTCCCAAAAAAAAACAAGGAAGAGAATGAAGGCCCAAGAGGAGAACTAAAATAACTGGCATGAGACTCCCTGGGTAAAGGTAGAAAGGGGGTGCAGGAACCCAGTAAGAATGAACAGGGTGCTGAGCAGCAACCAATGAGAAAGAAGGGACAAAAGCAGATTATGAGAAAGAGTCAGTCGACCGCCAATGAAACTCAGGGTTAGTTTAGAATCAGAAAAGGCAGGGTGAAGGAGGAAGAAGTGATTAGCCAATGAAAAGCAAGTAACAGCTGGAGCATACGGTGGGAGGGAGCCAATGACAACACAAGGATGTGGGAGTCAGGGTAGAGGAACGGGGTGGTCAGTATAGTTAAGAAAGAGAATCCGTGAGGTCAGAGATCATTGGAGGAAAGTCCACAAGGATTTGGTGGACTATAAGATACTCACTGTAGTTAAGTGCTGGATTTGAGTTCTTGATGTAGGCAGAGAACTTGGCAAAGACATCAAGGCCAGCTGTGTTGGATTCGGGGTTGCGAGCAGCCAGTTTGGGGTACCTATGGAAACGGGTACCAAAATTCACTACTGAGAAGCATCATCCCCAACTCTTCCTTTTGAGAGAAACCCCTCTTCCAATCAGCCCCACGGCCTCAGTGAGCTCATACTTGGGAGGGCACAGAACCTCTTCCAGAAACTCTTCAATCTTGTTGGTGTCCGTATGGACCTCGTTCCCATACATCAAGAACGGCAGCTGGCCTCCTGGGCAGAGCTTCTGCACCGTCTCAGTCCTCCTACAAGGAGAAAGCAGGAGCAGTTGAGCAGAAATGGGGGGAACTAATTAGGCAGGGGGGCACAGTCAAGAGGACGGGAGGAGAATCCCTGGTCAGAATTGGTGGTACTTCACCCACCTTTTGGTGTCCACCGTGGTGACGTTAAAGGTCACTCCCTTCAGCCAAAGGACCATGAAGAGTCGCTGAGAGAAGGGGCAGTTCCCAATTTTGGCTCCATCACTGCCCGCCTAGGGGAAAAAAAACATTAGATATTACCAAACCCTATCCCACAGTTCACCAAAAACCGAGCTCATCTCCTTCGCTTCAGGTTCACCAGAGACTGGGGACAAAGGATAGAACAGGATCCCAATTCCTCTACGTTTGGGATAAAGATAAGCGGAAGCAAGCACTGTGAAAAGACACATGCGCACTGAACAAATAGTAGCCATATAATAACTGTTTCCTTTACCCTTCGCCAGGGCTCTTTTTGTAGAAAAAGGACGTTAAAGGTCACTCCCTTCAGCCAAAGGACCATGAAGAGTCGCTGAGAGAAGGGGCAGTTCCCAATTTTGGCTCCATCACTGCCCGCCTAGGGGGGAAAAAACATTAGATGTTACCAAACCCTATCCCACAATTCACCAAAAACCGAGCTCATCTCCTTCACTTCAGGTTCACCAGAGACTGGGAACAAAGGATAGAACAGGATCCCAATTCCTCTATGTTTGGGATAAAGATAAGCGGAAACAAGCACTGTGAAAAGACACATGCACACTGAACAAATATTAGCAATATAATAACTATTTCCTTTACCCTTCGCTAACTGCAGACCTAGAAACAAATTCACTGGAAGCAAGCTATGCCCCTTCCCTTGGCACCGTGTGAGGGAACACAGAGTTACAATCCTATGTAAATGCTGTAAGAAAAAAAAAACCAGACTGCATGGCTTCTCCTTTTGGCACACATGATTTTTTTATTTATTAATTATATTTTTCAGTCGCCACACACCTGACGGGTCTCATGGTATTCTACAGGTCAGGAGCCACAACTGAGGAGGCCCTTCCCCTGGTGACAGCTAACTAAGACATCCTGTGGCCAGGTACCCACAAGAGGCCCCTAGATGCTGACCGAAGGGAGCATGGGGGGGGGGTTGCAATGGGAAAACCCAGACCCTCATACCAGACGAGTGTTGCATGCTATCACACGGCTAGAGGCACATTAGGATCTCACATCTACAAAGACAGACCAAGGTGGGTAGCAATGTTCCCTCTAAGCTGTAGGATTGTATGTATTTTTGCATATCAGCCAATATGTTCTGTCTGTATTAGACCTCTGAGGAAGACCTGTAAAGGCCGAAACGCGTTAGGTCTATCTTATTAGCCCTTGTATGTTTTTGTATTTGTATATGAGGTTTGAATGGGCCCTTGTTTGTTATTTTAATTTATGGTGAATAAATACATGTATATTTTTGTATGTTTTATAATTAAGAGTTTTAGAGTTGGCCCTTTTCTACTCTTGTTCTTTTCTACACCTATAAAGAAAAGCCTGTGTTAAAACTATATGTAGTGCAACAGGCAGCCACACTGCAGGGAGATAGGAAAAGACCCAGGTTCAAGTCCTTGCTCCACCACACCATCTGCCAGAAGGGACAGGCAGGGGCTTCTCCTCTTCACTAGGATGCCCAGAGAGCTGGTCTGTAAACGAATGAACCCGCAAGCCTGGAGCTTCCCTCCCATCAGCACTTCAACCACCCATTCGGCCATCTTAAGAGCAGGCAGACAGGCAAGTGAGCAGGGGATGACAGCGGCAACCAGCATCAGGAGGTCAGGGGGTGACAGGGCTGCCGACGTCAGCGTGGCCCCCACCTTGTGGAATGGCCTGCCCCTGAGCTTTCTCGGGCTTTCCGCAAACTATGCAAAATTGCATTATTCAAGAGGGTTTTTCTATGCAGGCAACAGAGTTGCACTGTACTAGGTGATTAAATTATTAGGGACTGTACCAGGGGTGTCAAACATGCGACCCGGGGGCCGAATTAGGCCCTGGACGGCTTCTATCAGGCCCTTTTTCTTCCAGTTCTGCTGCTGCTGCGTCATCGTAGGTTTACAGCTTACAGATACACACCTGAACAGCATACTTTAATTCCAGTAGGGAGAAGCGACAACATCGGAACAAACAGCTCATCTGATCGCAACCATTGTCTCTTTTGGGCCTGTCTTGCAACAGGTTTTCTCTGGGTATCATTCTGGCTTTGTTAATCTGTTTCTTGACTTCATCAGGTTGGTACTTTAGATCCAAAAAGGTTTGTTGTAGATCCCTCAGGTGAGAATCTCTGTCTGTAGGATTGGAGCAGATGCGGCTGTAGTGTAGAGCCTGGCTGTATACAATGGATCATTTGGTATGTTTAGGATGGTAGCTGGAGGCATGTAAGTATGTTTGTCAGTTAGTAGGTTTCTGGTATAAGGTGGTCTCTATGCGTCCATTGTTTATTTTTACAGTAGTGTCCAGAAAATGTATTTCTTGCATACATTGGTTCATTGTCAGGTTGATGGTGGGGTGAAAGTCGTTGAATGCCTGGTGGAATATGTCCAGGGCTTCTTTACCTTTTGTTGTTGTTTCTAAATTTTAGTAGTCATTAAATGTGTATGTATGTATAAATACACAAACACTTGTTTCAATTTACAGTGCACAAACAGTCAGTAGAAAGTATGGCTTTTCCAGCTACAATATAATGAAAAGCCATAAGCCCATGCTTGCCATTGAAGCAGAAGCATCCTGGACTTCTCTACTTAAACATTACTGTTCACCAATGTTCCCTCTAAGCTGTGGAGTCTTGTGAGCAAAAATTCAACTTTGTGAGCTACTGGCATTAAAACTGTGAGCGGGCGGTTTTGGCTGCTGCATAAATCAGTTTGCTCTGGAGCCCTCCTTCCTGAGCTAAGACAAAAATGAGTGAGCCGGAGGCTAAAAAACTGTGAGTTAGCTCACACTAACTCAGCTTAGAGGGAACACTGCTCACAACTTTAAGGCCAGTAGCTCACCAAGTAGAATTTTTGCTCACAAGGGTCCACAGCTTAGAGAGAGCATTGACTACAAGTAATGTACATAAATAAAAAATAAATGTATGGCATACACAATTAACACCGCTGGGGTTGAGCTACTTGAAGCCCTAGCCAAAGGGGTGAGGAATTTTTCTGTCCTCCCAGAAAGGTCATGGCTCAGTAGCAGGTTCCAGGTTCAACCTGTCTCTCCTGCCACCTTCTGCGGCCATTTGCCACCCTCCCGGAGGGCCTGGACCGCGCCGACCTGTCTCCCCCGCCACCTTCTGCGGCTGCTCGCCACCCTCCAGGAGGGCCGGGTACTGTGTGGCCTCTCAGCGACTGGCGCACTTGGCACCTTGCCCCACCGGTGCCTCCACCAGATGTGGGGGGGGAGTCAGGCTGGCCCACTTGGCCTCCTCCACCCACGGGGACCTTCACTGTGCTGGTCAGGCAGGGCGCTGGGCGCCCCATCGCCGGAGGGCCGTGGCTGATCACCTTGGTCTCCCGTGGACTCGGGCTGGTGGGAGCACCGCACCCCTTCCCCCCTTCACTGCTCAGCTACCCTAGGTGGCCGGGTCCCCACCCCACCCCGCCAATGCTAGCACCCGCTGTCTCCTGCTACAGCGGGCCTTCTTCCTAGTATTCTATATGCCTGAACTTTTAGAATAGAGAGACACATTTATTCCTACTGTGTACTGGAGGGGGCAGCATTTTTTGTGAGAGCCCAGCGTCCATTCAATCCTTCACAGCAGATTTCACTCTCAGGAGAGCAATAGATGTCTAGGAAAAAAGACGCAGTGCTGCCTAAAACCACCAGGGGGAAGCAACAATCTAGGAAAGGCCACAATAACGGCCGCCACCACAGCACCACAGAGGCCACAGCTACCCCTGAGGAACTGAGCGATTGCTTGCCATGTTCATTAGGCAGCATGCTTGCAACGATTTATTTAAGTCTACCCTGCAGGGCTGGGAAGTAAGGTCTGGATCCAGACTGAATCAATCATTTCCATCTCCCCACAGCAGACTTCCCCCCATCCCAGCCCCCACCCCATCTTCCACAGGCAGTATCTCATGCATATCAGTCAGCTTCAGTGGGAGGGGAGAGACAGGAACGTTCCACCTGTGGGGATTTTAGCCTGGATCCAAATCTGGAAATAGAAGTCTGGCTGTGACCCTCCTCATCAATAAGAACATGAGAACCTAAGAGAAGCCAATATTGGATCAGGCCAATGGCCATCAGGAGGTCCAGCAGTGGGGCCAGGACACTAGAAACCCTCCCACTGTTGCTCCCCCCCCCCAAGCACTAAGTCTTCCTTCCACTAGTTATAGGCAGGGGTTATTTTGTAGAAAAAGAGGTGCAGGAGCTCATTAGCATAACTCATTTGCATATGCCACACCCCCTGACATCACCGGAAGTGTGTCAGAAGGCAACACCCACCGCTCAGGCTCCACTGGACTGTTTTGGATTCCTAGCTATTGGGAGGGGGGTGCAGATCTGTCCTCACAGAGGAGGGAGAGCTTGTACCTGAATAAAACTTGGTCTTAAAGGTGCCACTGGACTGTTTTGGGCCGGGGGGAGCTCTGCAACTTACCTGGCCGCGTCTTGCTCTGACTGAGGGCTACTGGGAGCAGGGGGTGGGACTTGTTGCATGTGCCCGCCCCCTGGGCTCTTTACTGCCAGAGCTCCACTCCTGTGCGCTCCTGCAAGAAATGACCCCTGGTCATAGGAGAGTTTTGGGAGCTCAGTGGCCGGATACCAGAAATGGGATTTGGGGAGCTTTGAAAGAGGATCAAGAGCACACTGAGAAGTGTCACTCACAAGCCATGGGCGCTTGAGGGACTTCTGTACAGGTGCACCAAGGCCTGCTTGCTTGGCTCAGGCACACAGTCCTCCTTATCTGAAAGGTCAACCCATGGATAAGAGAGCCCCTGGATAAACACTGTAGCATGCCCCAGCAAGGCACTTGATAAGGAAATATAAGGACCTTGTCGTGGCATACTTGCCAAAAAGTTTGGCAACTGCTCATACGGAGCCAGGAAGCAGAATTTCCAAAGCCCCTCCCCTTAAATCTCATTTCCCCTCCCACCCCACAACCTCAGAAGAAAACAAGCTCCTTGCTTCCAGATTCCACCACATGTTAGCACTCCTGGGAACAGCTGGTGGTTGTAATAATAGGGAACCCTCTCGTGGCAACAGTTACCAGGGAGAGGAGGAT